GGGAAAGACACACAGATCAGGGACTCTATTTCAAAAGGTATCCTGGAGGTTCTGCAAGGAGGTCTGAAGAAGTCTCTGGAACCAGTCCTTTAACCCTCCCACAAATCAGATCCTGCTGTTTCTTGCTTTAGAACCACCGATGGCTCCCAGTGCCTTCAGGATAAAGGTCAGCATTTTTGCCTAATGCTGACCTTCACAGACTGGGCTTCAAATACCTCTTGGGCCTCATCTCCTACATAACCAAGCCTGGCCCACAGGCCTTCCAAGCCACCCTCCTTCCTGCTTCCATGAGACCCCCGTTTGCCACCTGACAGTCTTTCTTACCATCCTTCACACAGGTAGAACCTCAGTTTCCTAGGAGGGTCCCCCTTCCAAGTACCCAAAGCCTGTTTACTTTAACCCCCTACATGACCCCAGAGGGCCAATCATGGTTGGCTTAAGACAGTGGTTCTCAAAGTGTAAAGGAGTAGCACCAGGGAACTTGTTAGAAATGCAGATTCTCGGGCTTACTCCAGAGCTATTGAATCAGCCAGTGTGTGGGTGGGGAGCAGCTGTCTGTCAAACAAACAGATTGATAAACCTCAGATAATCTTGATGCCTATTCAAGTGTGTGAATCATTAATTTAAATAGGGATTGGAGGAGACAGGGACATGTGACCTGATGCTGGTGAAGCAGAGACTGCCCAGGGTCTCCTGTAGCCATGTTTCCCTTTTTCTATAAAAGAACTAAAAGTTGCTAGGCACATGGCCACCTAGAAGAAAAGACTACATTTCCCAATGTTCTTTGCAGCAAGGACACCCCTGGAACTGAGTTCTGGCTAATGAGATGGAAGCAGTAAAATTTCGTGCTACTGTCCAGTTACTCTACTGGCTGAGTACAGCTTTGTGGAAAGCCCTCTTGCAGGTGGCATAAAAACACAGGATGGGTGCCCAGCGTGGTGGTGCACACCTGTAATTCCAGTGGCTCCGGAGGCTGAGGCAGGAGGATCACAAGTTCATAAACCAGCCTCAGCAACTTAGTGAGGCCCTAAGCAACTCAGCAAGACCCTGTCTCTCAATAAAATTTCAAAAAGGGCGGGGGCGTGGTTAGGTGCCCCTGAGTTCAATCCCCAGTATAAGAAAACAAACAAACAAACAAACAAAAAAAACACCCCACAGGATGGTAAAGCAGCACTGAAGGAAGCACTGGGGTCCAGACACATGGAGTTGCCATGCCTGTGCTGGCCTACAAGCGCCTTGGAGAACAGATAAACTTCTATCATGTTTAGGCCACTGTTATTTGGGTCTTTGTTACAGTCAAAATATATCCTGGCTAATGCATCTGGACTGTTGGTTTCTAAGAGAAATCTTTCAAAGTGTCTCTGGGAAAGGTTTTCTTCCATGATAGAAAACACACAAGAAGAGTCTCTGTGAAACCCTCTGTATTGCCCCAGTGGCTGCACGTCTGTGTTACTCCCAAGGAGGCCGCCGCCATCTTGCCAGCTGTACTCATTGGCTAGGTCTGCCATGACAAAATTCTCAGACAAGTGGACTCAAACAAGAAACCTATTTTCTTGCAGTTCTTGGAGTTAGAAGTCTAAGCCTCTCTCCTTGGCTTAGAGCCAACTGCCTCCTCTTCTCCCTGTGTCCTCCCACGGTCTTTCCCCTGTTCACAAGTGCCCCTGGCATCTCTTTGTACATCCAAATTTCCTTTGATAAGGACACTCTTAAAAGGATGGCATTCAGACCTACCCTAACAGTTTCATTTTGACTCAGTTATCTCTTTGAAGGCCTATCTCCAGGTACTGGTCCATCTTAAGGTACCGGGGGTTAGTGCTTCGACATGCAGGTCGGGTAGGCCACGCACGAATTACCATAACCCCGGCAAAGTAGAACCTATAAGGAACTTTGATGCCATTATTGAGCAGCTGAATTAAAAAGCCCCGAAAGCATTCATTATCCGACGCCTTGCCTTGAGAGAGAATAAATTTGTCTTCTTGCCTGAGCCACCTTTGGTTGGATTGTCTGTTCCTTGAAGCCAGAATCATCACAACTCAGGCACCATGTGCGTGCTCAAGCTGTTCCCTCTGCCTGGAGTGTAACCTTCCTGCCATTCACCCTTCAGAGCTTGGCTGGGATGCCAGGATCTTGGAGAATGGCTCCTGATTCTGCCTTCCCTGAACATGTCACTGGCCTTAGATGAGAGTCCTGTGCTTAGGTGTCTCTCTCTCTAACCAGGTCACGGTTGGCATAGGCACCATACACCTGCTGCCACGTCCCCCCTCCTGCCCATGGCAGGCATTGATAATCAATCCCTTTTTCCTGCTGGGAGCAGATCTGGTTTTTATAATCCTCTACACAGTCTCTCCAGGCAGCCTCTGCCAATCATCTGGAGATGAATCCTATCTGCCACTGTTAAGTCTTTGAAAGCGGGACTTTGTGTGGCTCATCTCGTTTTTTATTCACAAGCTAATTTTAATAATATATGTTTTCATTGTGTGCTTCTGTTCCCATTTTATTCCTTCTTCAGAGGCAGGCATCATTACCCTGTTTTTGACATAGGAGGATTCCGAGGCTCTTAGAGATGAAGTCACTTGTTCAAGGTCATTTACATTCAAACCCAGGTCCACCTGTCTCCAACCACTTCCACTGACATTTACTAAGCACTTCATCTGTTTGCAGCACCAGGCTTGTGCTACAGGGAATACAGAGATAATTTTCTATTTCTAGTGGTAATTCAAAACACTGGTTTTTAAAAATTTTATCTATTTTATGTGGTACTGGGATTAAACAAAGGGGTGCTCTACCACTGAACTACCTCCCTAATCCTTTTTATTTGTTATTTGAGACAAGGTCTTGCTAAGTTGCTTAGGCTGCCCTTGAACTACCATCCTCCTGTCTCAGTCTCCCATGTCACTAGGATGACAGGCCTGTGTCACTGTGCCAGGCCAAACACTTTTTATCCTAGTTGAGATTCCCAACAGTTCGGGGATGTTTGGAGTTAGTCCAGGAATAATATAAGGTTCCATTTTATAGACAGGGAAACTGAGGCCCAGAGAGCAAAGGGCTTACAAAAGCCAGTCACAGAGGGCTGGGGCTCAGTGGCAGAGTGCTTACCTAGCATGTGTGAGGCACTGGGTTCAATCCTCAGCACCACATAGAAATAAACAAAGAAAATAAAAGCCAGTCTTGGAAGTACCAAGACAAGAGATCAACTTTCATGATGGCTGCCACTCTGAAGGTGGTAATTCTGGACTGGTTCAAGGGGTTAAGCGGCAATTTTGATGTCCAGAGCAGGATCAGGGATTGGCTAGCACATCCTGGCCTCTTCCTGTTGGTCTAACAGGCGGAGTGGAGATCTCATTTCCTGTTGCTGGGAGGTGACTGGCAGGATGTAGGGGAGCCAGAGGGAGAGCCATGAGGGCTGGCACTAAGCAGCCTGGGCCACTTCTTTTCCAATAGAAGGAGGGTCTTGATCCTCCCTCCAACCAACACTGACATGGCGGCACCCATGCTTCCCAAAAACCTTCCGGGGCTGGGGGTGTGGCTCAGTGGTAGTGAATTTGCCCAGCATGTGAGAGACCCTGGGTTCCATCTCCAATGCTGAACAAACAAACAAAAAACCCTTCCAAAATAGTCCCATACACTGACACCTGCATCTTACAATTTCCAATCACTTTCTCATCCGGGCCTTGTGTCTTCCTTGCCACACCTGTGACTAAGCAGGACAGGGCCTCCGGGGTTATGGTTCCACCGGAGAGATAAGGAAGCTGAGGAGCAAACTGTCCGGGGAAATGCAGCAAAGCAGTTCCGGACCTTGGGCCTCAAGAACTTTAGTGTCATGACCAGATGAGGACGGGCCACTCAGAACCTTTCCAAGTGTCCTGGGGGTGGCATCAAGAGGGCATAAGTTCTACAGGCAAGAGACACTAAACTTTAAGTCCAAACCAGACAGCAGACCCAAGTCCTCTTATTGTCTAGGTGACCTTCTTGAGCCAGGCTCCGCATTTGAGCGTCAGTTTTTAAACTTGGTGTAATCTGAATGATGATAACCCAACATGCTAAGGAATGCGTGAGGTGAAATACAGAAACTGCTCAGCATGGGGATCTTGCTTCCCTAAGGTTCTCCTAAGAGACAATCAAACAGTCCACCAGCCACAGATAAGCAAATGGTTAATTATTTCAGCAGTGCTGGGAACTGAACCCAGGGTCTCATGCATGCTCGGCAAGGGCTCTGCCACTGAGTTACACCCTCACAGCACCAATGGTTCGTATTTATTGAACACTTAACATGTGTTATTATCTTCTAAGTGCATTTAATCCTTACCATGTCACTATGAGGTCAAACTAGTGTTATATCTATTGTATAGATGGGAACACTGAGGCAGAAGTAGAAATTGCCCAAGGCCATAACCCTAGTGGCAAAGCCAGCGTTCAAACTCAGCCGTCTCCAAAGATTAATTTGTTTATATTCTTCTCCTTCTCCTTCTCCTTCTTTTTCCAGTACTGGGGATTGAACCCATGCAGTCTTGGCAAGTGCCTTACCACAGAGCCACATCTCCAACCCAATTTATTTTATACCTTAACTTGCTCGGACACAACACTCTCACTCTTTTTCCACCCAGGGAAGGGGCGAGGCTTACTCCCAATTTCTGAAGGGAGAAGGCAACAGTCAGTGAAGGGGGAACTGGCTTGGCTTGAGAAGGTCACACACAGGTGCAGAAGCAGGACTGGAACCTAGAATTTTCCAGACTTGGACTTCAAATCTGGGGGACTCTCCTCCAGGCTCACCCAACTGCGGAGCCCCTCAACAGCGTGCCTTCTGGCTGGAGACCTGGGGCCTTCTGCCTGGGCTTCACCCCTCAGGGGTAGAGTCCCAGGGTTGTGTCCTCCAGCGCCCGCCCCAGCAGAGGGGAGGGACAGGAAAACTGCAGCACTGGTGGAGTTTCCGACCAGGCAGGAAAAAGAACAAAAGCAGCGGGCAGCAGAGGGGGGTGGCTGGGAGGGTGCAGAGGAGAGGGGACCGTCACCATGGAATATGAAGTCAAGAAAGGGAAGAAGGTACGTGGGAGTTTGAGAGGGACACAGGGTAAAGGAATGTCCCTGAAGCCAGGGATGGAGGAGCCCAAGGGTGGGGGTGGCAAGTGGCCTGAGTGAAGTCTTCCTTCCTATTTGTCAGGACCTCCCTTTCTACCAGACTCTCTCAACTCCCTGGCCTGTTTGTCCCCTTGTGGTGGCCTCTGCCGCCCCTGCACAGAAGGACAAGGTCTCCCCAGGCACGTGCTTCCCTGGTGTTCCTGGTGGCTCCCTCCTGCAACTTCAGAGGGAGGGACGCATGGCAGACCGTTCCCCTGCTCCCAGACCAACCTGGACAGAAGGGCCCAGCAGTGGCAGTTCTGAGCTAGCAACTGCCCTCCAGGGAGTCTCCACCTGCTCCCCTGCAGTGTTCCACCCACACCTGCTGCTCGTTATCTTTGTACCAGGGCCAACTCCGAGGTCTCAGCCCTGGGGTCACCCCACCTTCACCCCTTCCTGACTCTGAGAACTTCTCTAGTCTGCTTTTCTGGGTGTCTCACCTTCTTGGGGTTCAGGGAGCTCCTCAGATTCCAACTCCCATCCCACCCCCATTGGCACAGAGCCCTCTTTCCCCAAGAAGCCTGGGTCAGGGGCATTCTAAAGGACACCCATGTAATCTCTGGGCATCCAAACGTGTGTGAGTCCTGTCTTGGTTCGTTTTGTTGTTCTTGTTGTTTGTTTTGTTGTTTATTTTTGGCACCAGGGATTGAACCCAGGGGTGCTTAACCACTGAGACACATCCCCAACCCTTTTTATATTTTACCTTAGATCTTGCTAAGGTGCTTAGGGCCTTGCTAAGTTGCTAAGTTGCAATCCTCCTGCCTCAGCCTCCCAAGCCACTGGGATCATAGGCATGCACCACTGTGCCCAGCTGTTCATTCTTTTAATAGATATTTACTGTTGTGTGCCATGAATTGTGCCTGAGGCTGGTGAGGACACAGAGGTGAGCAAAGTTAAATAAGGCCCCTGCTCCCTCCCTGGAACTCACAGTCTCCTGGGGGAAACAACTATTAATAAAAAAAAAAAAAAGGCAATGGATTGATCAACATAAAATTGCATAAAAGGCTCCATGCACAGTTCTAGGGGGCAGACTATCAGGGTCCTGGCCATTGACTGGTCAGTTTGAGCTGAGAGGTGATGGGTAGAAAGAAAGGGAGTGGGGAAGAGTGTTTTGAGCAGAGGAACATCACGTGCAAACAGCACGGCAGGAACGAATGTAGTGTAGGGAGAACTGAGAGGTGGCCAGGTAGCTGGGAGTGGGGAGCCAAGAGGAGTGTGTAAGATGAGGCTGGGCCATTCAGGATCACCCCACCCCACCCCACTCACCTACGAGGGATAAAGTTGCAAGCTCCAGGGGGCACTCAAGGCCCCTGACCCACACAATGACCGCTCACAGTCCTCTAGGATCATTCCTACCAGCCGTCAGAGCTCCTTGGGGTTCGCCCCTGCTGCGCCCTCTGCTTGGAATGCCTTCACCCTGATATTTTGCTCTCATTCTCAGCGCTTCCACATACCCCATGCAGGCTCCATGACACAGGTTCTAGAACCTGGGTGGGCATGTGTCAGAATCACCTGGAGAGCCTGACAAAATGCAGATCGTTGGGTCTCACTCCCACTCTCTGATCCAACGGGGCTGGCATAAGATCTGGGAATCTGCCTTTCTAACCGCCCTCTCCACCCCCTTATCCCCCACCCAGGTGATACTGGCTGCGGGGCCATGCTCTGACCACTGGCTTAGATCCTGGCTACTGGAGCTATGGGGTGCAGACCCTAGCACCCACATCCACTGGCACCTTGTTAGAAATGCAGCCTCAGCCCCACCCCAGATCTACTGAATCAGAACTCGTGAGCACAGTATAGTCTGAGACTCAGGAGTTTAGGTCATTTATCACAAGCCCTGGAGGCAGGGCTGGGGAAACACCAGCGCAGGTCCAGCCACACTGGCATGAATGAATGCTTACTGAGCAAATCCGTGGATGAACACATGCACCTGAACTGCGCATCATTTGTTTGTCCTTGTTCACCCTTGTTGTGGAATCTAAGTAACCACACTACACGTTCTGCACGTTCGCTGGGCTTCAGCTGGGCCACTACTGAAATCACCCAGGGACGCTTTACAAATCCTGATGTCTGGATTCCAGTTCCAGAATTTCTGATTCTCATGATTTGGGGTGTAGCTTGGACACCTGAAGTTTTAGAAGCTGCCCAAGTGGTCACAGATTGCAGCCAGGGTAGGGATGGCTGCTGTGAGGTATGGATATCACACTGGGTCATGCATCAGAATCACCTGGAGGGCGTGCTAAACTTCAATTGCTGGGCCTCCAGTGTGGGGTGGGGACAGGGGGCCTGCATTTCTCTCAAGTGCCCAAGTGCCACCACTGGTCCAGGAACCACACATGACAACTGCTGCTTGAGAGAAGTGCTCAGACTTTCTTCTGGGGGGTAGGGGAGCTATAGGGGATTCAATTCAGGGGCACTTGGCCACTGAGCCACATCCCCAGCCTTATTTTGTATTTTTATTTAGAGACAGGGTCTCACTGAGTGGCTTAGTGCCTTGCTTATTAGTCTGTGCTGGGCCCTGGGATGCACATCTTTAACCTTGATCTAGGTCATTTTTTGTACAGGTGCCTCTGAATTAGACTTAAATTTACTTATTTCTAAATTTTAAGGAAACACAGAAGATAGCCTAACAAATACCTATGCACCTAACACTGGGCCACACCAACTATTTTTCTGTATTTGCTCCCATCTGGACCCATTTCTTACACCTGGCTGGAAGGGGCTATACCTTCCTGGGTGATCAGAATGGAGGTTTTGGAGTTGGACTGCCTGGAGTGAAATATTGATTCCACCACTACTAGCTGGTGACTTTGCCAGTTAACTTCCTGCCTGGGCTTCGTTTCTCCATCTGTAAAATGGGTACCCTTCCTACAGAGATTTTATGAGAATTAAATTTGGTCACGTAAGTAAAATAGCCAACAAGGCAAGCGATTGTCAAAGCCATTATCACTATTATTACTGTTATTCCCTCTGTCTCCCCCAGGGCTTTGTGTCCCCTATTCGAAGACTGGTGTTCCCCAAGGCTGCACGCCGGGCAGCCTTTCGGACCAGTGTGAGCCGCCGGCCCCTGCACTCAATGCCCCTTTATCCTCCCGACTACCTCATTGACCCCCAGATCCTTCTGTGTGACTACCTGGAGAAAGAGGTCAAGGTGAGTGTGGGATGTGAAGGGGTGGGAACAGCTTTGGGGTCAGGAGAGACCTTTTCTGTCCCCCACACCAGCCCCTGACCAGGCCTACCTCAACACAGGGGAAGCTGTGGCTCATGGGAAACAGGAGGCCTGGGTCCAAGTTAGCCACACCCCTCTGTTATGCTGTGCACCCTCAGCAAGAGACCTCCTTTCACTGAGCACCCGTGTTCCCATCTCAACATGGGCTCCTAACCTATTCCCAGGGGACAGTGGCTAGGAGAGGGTTCCCTGCTCTGAAAATTCTGTTCTCCCATAATCTTTTACTACAATGACTTTGTGGTTGCTCTGATAGTGTCCAGGTTAAGAGCAAGCCACAAAGGACTCTTGACTACCTAGAAGTTTTATTTTTATTTCCAGGATACCATGAAGGAGCAGTAAGGGATCCTAATTTAGCTAGGGGAAGACTGCAAAGGGATAGAGTTGCAGATTTAGCAAACAGGCCACCTAGTTAAATTTGAATTTCAGATAAGCAATGAATACTTTTTTAGCATAAACATGTCCCAAATATTGTACATACTAACCATACCAAAAACCTAAAAACAAAATTCCTGTTGATATGAAATTCAAATTTAACTGGCATCTTGTACTTTATATGGTATATAAATACTGCACACTGACCAATTGTGCCATGGGAGCATCCCTGTATTTTATCTGGAAACCCTATACAGAGGGAAAAGCTAACCAATAAATCTACTTAAAAACTGGAGACTGAAATTTCATAGAGAATAAAAAGAAGAGGGAGGCTGGGCATGGTGGGGGCACACCAGTAATCCCATCAGCTCAGGAGGCTGAAGCAGGAGGATTCAAAGGTTCAAAGCCAGGCTTAGCAAAAGCAACGTTCTAAGCAACTCAGTGAGACCCTGTCTCTAAAAATAAAATACAAAATAGGGCTGGGGATGTAGCTCAGTGGTCAAGTGCCCTTGAGTTCAATCCATGGTACCCACCCGCCCGCAAAAAAAAAAAAGGATGAATGGAGAAGCCTGGCCCAACCAGTGGTGCTTGCCTGTAATCCCAGCAGTTTGGGAGGCTGAGACAGGAGGATTGCGAGTTCAAAGCCAGCCCCAGCAACTTAGCAAGGCACTTAGCAACTCAGTGAAACCCTATCTCTAATAAAATATAAAAAAAAAGGACTGGGATGTGGCTCAGTGGTTAAGCACCCCTGGGTTCAATCCCCAGTAACAAAAACAGAATGAAAATTAATATGCTGATTTGAAGCATCATTTTTCTTTCTTTTTTGAGGGACAGGGTACTGGATATTGACCCCAGGGGCACTCTACCACTAAACTAAAGCCCAGCCCTTTTATTTTTTATTTTGATGTTTTTTGTTTCTTTGTTGTGTTTATGTGGTGCCAGAGATTGAATCTTGGGATGTTCTACCATTGAGCTACATCCCAGACCTTTTTAAAATTCTTATTTTAAAATTTATTATTTAAATTTATTTTTAAATTTATTATTTTAAAATTCATTAAATTGTTCAGGCTGTCCTTAAATTTATGATTCTTCTGCCTCAGCCTGCTAAGTAGTTAGGATTGCAGGCGTGCACCGCTACGCCGAAGTAGCACATCATTTTTTGGACAAAATGATATACTAATTTGACACCTTCTTTCCTTTTCATTTGACTTCTGTAAAGGAATCCTAAAAGGACAATTAATTTGTGGTCCATTTGGCAATGATGCTGGAGGTGGAGGCAGCCACTCAGGCTACAAGGAAATTCACAGGGGGTCAGTTCTTTCAAACTATAACAGTGGAGGCCAAGGATGTAGCTCAGGGGCAGAGTGTTTCATAGGAGAGCCCCTGGGTTCCCCTGCCAAATAAACAAAGCTATAGTAATGACTTTTGCTTCTTTACGGAACCTTATAGCTAAATGACCTGTGTTAAGGCAGTATCAACTAGCATTTGAGAGTGTGGGCTCTAGCATGTGGAGTCCAGTCTTGTCCCTTGTATAAACCTGAGTAGGTTTTTCTTTTTTTCTGTCCCCCCCACCCCCGGCCTTTTCACTTACCTAACATATGTGAGGTGCTGGGGCTTGAACCCAGGGCCTCACATATGTTAGGTAAGTGTCCTCTGGGCAGGATTTTTAGGCTTGCTGTGCAGTTTCATCCTTAGTGAGGATGAATGAGTGAGTGAACCATAAAGCACTCAGACCTGTGCCTGGCTTCTATTATGAGTTCAGTGAAATTTATTATTGGGTTATTATTAATTTAGGTATTTTTATCTCAGCCTATCTTCACTGTGTCAGTAAGGAAGCCAGGGTCCACCAAGGTTTCAGAGTGACCTCTCTGTGCCCTCTCCTACTCCATTCCCCATCCAGTTCCTGGGCCACCTCACCTGGGTGACTTCCTCACTGAACCCCTCCAGCAGGGATGAACTCCTGCAGCTGCTGGACACCGCCAGGGTGAGGCTCTGGGGAAGAAGGAGGGCAGGGTCTCCCTCAGGTCCCCTTCTCCCTCTCCACCCTCCCCACTCTGGGTACTTAGGCGATCCGACCATCCCTGCAGCAGCTAAAGGAGCTGCCGCTGAAGACAACAGCGGAGCAGGACAGCATCTTGAGCCTGTCTGCCCGCTGCCTGCTGCTCACCTGGCGCGACAATGAGGAGCTCATTCTGCGCATTCCGACGCACGAGATCGCCGCCGCTTCCTACCTACAGGACGACGCGCTGCACCTGCTAGTGCTTAAGACCGGTACAGCATGCAGGACCCTGCCGCGGGAGGACCTAGAGGAGAGCAGAGAGAGAAAGGGCCTAACCTTTAGTCTTGGGAATGGGCGTGACCTGCGGCAGGGCTGGGGCTTGAGGCCGGGAGGGAGGTTATGGAAAAGGCCTGATCACAATACCCTGAGACTAGCGGCAGGCGGAAGAGACCCTGTGCAAGTAGACTGAGCCCGAGGTTAGTGACAGTGGGCCTGACCGCTTTCCTGATGGAGCAGTGGAAGGATGGAGAAGTCGGAAACCTGAGGCCAGGGAAAGGCCCTAAGTTAAAGCGAGCGAAGGAAGGGCAGGGTGACCGCAAGACCTGACCCACGGGTTAGGGGAGCCTCCAGGCCTGAGGGCGGGGCCACGCGCAGGGTGCGCGGCTAGTGTCCGACCACTAGGGCGGGGCCAGGGGCGGGGTTGAGGAGACCCGAGAACTCGGAACTCAGGTCGCAGGGGGCGGAGGCGGCGTTAAAACTGGGACGTGGTCAGAATTAAGGGCATAGATAGCATAGAGGCAGGGTAATTGACCACCAATCTCAAGTCAGAGGGCAGATCTGAGGCCAGGGCGTTGGGGTGAGGTGAGGAGGGTAGGAGCGGCTGGGCCACCACCCCGAGGCCGGGGGTGGAGTCAAAACCAGGGAGGAGTCAGGCCGCGCGCCTGGCGCGAAAGTAAGCGCAGAGTGAGGTGGAGAAGAGCTGCACAGCCGGGTGGTCAGGGCGGGCCTTGGGCCAGGGGCACCCGACTCCAGAGCGGCTGGAGAGGTCCTCCAGGTGGCCTCGGGAGGAGCCCCTTAGCTGCGATCTCCTGCAGCTGACCGCCCCCGGCTTCTCCTAGGTCTGGGCGTGGACCCGGTGCCGGCCGGCGTGGACGCTAGCCCGGGTGGTGCGGGGCGTGACCCGGGCCCGCCGGGCGCAGCGCCCGAGAAGCGGCGGGTGGGCACCGCGGAGCGGCGCCACACCATCTGCAGCCTGGACTGGCGGATGGCGTGGGGCGGGGGCGCGAGCGCCGAGGCTCGGGCGGGGGGCGGCGGCGGAGGCAGCCTGGAGCGCCAGCGCGCAGGGCCGCGGGCGTCCGGCAGCTGGGAGCGGCGGCAGACGTTCAGCGGCAGCTGGGAGCGGCGACACACGGGCGGCGGCGGCGGCGCGGGCAAGCCCGGCGGCAGCTGGGAGCGGAGGCAGGCGGGCAGCGGCGGGGGCAGCTGGGAGCGGCGCCACCCAGGTCCCAACCCGCTGGACCCTCAGGACCCCAGCCCCGACGCTTACTGCAACCTTGTCATCCTGGCTGTGGCTAACAGGGTGAGCCCGAGGACACCTGGGGAACACTGTACCCGCTCCCCCCCTCTCCTTTCACCAGATCCTGGGATCTGCCTTTTCCTTCCTTCAGCCCCACCCAGGACTTAGGTGTGCCCATGACTCCCACCCTATGCCCTCTGGGACACATCTCCCTGGGTCCCACAATGGGACGAAAACAAAATGGCCAATACACTTGATAGTAACCCTCTCCTCAAGCCCAGCTTCTGCTACAGTACAGTCAATGTCAGCACCACCACAATAACAATCACGAGGACATTAAGACCAGCACGAATGGAGTGCCAAACCTCAGCAGACGGGAGATGGCATTAGCATTTAAATTTCAAGGCAATATTTAGTGGCAAATAATATAGCTATTTCCATTCTGTAGGGACAGAAACAGATCCAGAGATATGGTAACCAATGCGAGGTTGCACGGGAAGCAAATGATGACTTCAAGATTCAAACTTAGGAAGTTCAGAGTGCATAGAGGAGCACATGTGGCGAGCAAGGCAGAAGACATAACTGCCATTCTTGCCTTCCCACCAATCTCCCTCATTCTCCACATTCACCCTTGCTCTTATTCATTTGATTGTGTGTATTGAGTGCCCGGCATGTGCTAGACATTGGGCTAGGTGCTACGGATGCAGAGGTGAGCAAGACATTTGGTGTCCTCCCTTGCCAGCACACAGGCTAGCTGGCACTTTCAAGCCCTGAGCCTTCTAAGCTTTCCTCTGCCTTAGGGCCTCCAGCTGTCTTCTTGCTCTGTATAAGCAGGAGTGAACAAAACAGAGGTGGTGCCTGGAGGGAGAGGTGAACAGTCACCAGGAATCTACACACAACAAGATTCCCTCCCCTTGAGACACTCACTTGGGTCTAGCTCTACACATTCTGGTTTTCCTCTGCCTCCCTGGCTCCTTCTCCAGAGCTGGTTCTCTTCTCTGCAACCTCTGAAAGTTAGAGTGCCTCAAACATTATCCTGGATCTTCATCCCTTGGCCACACTCATTTCTAGGTGATCTGTAGTCCCTCAGCATGTGTGCATGTCCGTATGTTGGCAGTACTGGGAGTTAAACCCAGGGCCTCGCACATGGTATTCAAGAGCTCCACCGCAGACTGCCTCTCCAGTTTTCTTTTCTTTTTTTTTAAGGTGGACACAATGTCTTTATTTTTACTTTACTTTATGTGGTGCTAAGGATCCAACCCATTGCCTCATGTATGCTAGGCAAGCGCTCTACCCCTGAGCCCCAACCCCAGCCCTTTTAACTTTTATTTTAAGACAGGTTCCTGCTAAGTTGCCAAAGTTGGCCTTGAACTTGCCATCCTCTGCCTCCGTCTCCCAAGTACCTGGGATTGCAGGCAAGCACCATCATGCCCACCTGGTCTCGTGACTTTTAAAACACTGGGACCCCCATAATTTCATCTGTCACCAAATCTCTATTCAGCCTCTCCATTCCAAGGTCTAATGACCATCTCAAGACTAATGCATCCAAACCTGAGCTTTGGATCTCCTCCCCCAAACCTGAGGACCCTGACCTCCTTGTCTTGGTGACTGGCAGCTTCATCCTTCTGTTGCTCAGGCAGAAACCTTGCAGTGGTGCTTGGCTTCCCCTTCTCTCCCTCCCTCCGTTCCCCTTTGCACAAACCCACACCCTGTGTGCTCTTGTCAATAAATCCTATTGACCCTATTTTTCAAATATGACCAAAACCCACTTCTGCATCTTCCATTGTCCCCACCCAGACCCACATGCCATCTTCTGTCACTGGAATCATGATGTCATCCCTTCGCTGGCTCAGCCCTTTCTTATAGTCTGCTCCCCTACAGAATCAGAGCAGTCCTGTTAACACAGAAGTCACATCATATCACTGCTCTGAATCTTCCAGTGGCTCCTTCTTTCACTCAGAGTAAAAGCCAACATCCTTACAATTGCTTAAAAGGGCATCAAGCTCCAGCCATGACCCCCAGCCCCTCTCTGGCCTCACCTCTTTCTACTCCCGCCACCTCCACACTTTATTCCACTCTAGACCTCCTTGTAGAGTGCAAGAGACCTGTGTGTTCTGGTGGCTCTCTGTGGTACCCCTGGCACCTAGAACCATGCCTGGCACATAATAAGTGCACATTAAATACCAATTGGCTGAATGAATAAATTAATGCATCTTACATTATACCTTGCGTGGGGACTAGGAAGGAAATAAGCAGATTGGGAGAGGGGAAAGTGAGTTTGTGCTTTTCAAACTGAAGGGCAAGGAAGAGGAAGGAGTTGGCAGAGGGATGGGCCTGGAAATCAGATTCCACACAGAGGTGACAGTGTTCACTGTCTACCCCACTGGCCTGTGGGGATTTTAGGGTAGAGGGCCTGGCCTAGAGCTTGCCACATAATAAGATGAAATGAGAACTTGTGGAATGAGTAAATAAATAAGATTTGCTCTCCAGGGTGTCTGAGGCTCTGGGCTCCTTTCTGAGGCATCGTGGTGCTCAGGAGGGTAAAGGAGTTAGAGTCAAAAACCACACGTGCCGCCAGTTTTATCTAATGCCACAGACCTGCTCTCTGAGCCCAGGCAAATCACTGAACCACTCTAAATCTTAGCATCTTAACTATAAAATAAGGATCCTCTCTGCTCTGTCCACTCTGTAGGGTCATTGTAAGGATCAGTCCTGGTTTAATGATTAGTAATTCCTCATAACCCCCGAATGCCTATCCTGAGTTACATTTGAATTTATACCTTGGACTTTTTAGAGACACAAAATAGATAATAGCTGCAAGAAAATATTCTGTTTTCATTAATTAATGCTTTCTTTTGTGTCTCTGCTTAAACACATAAAGATGTGAATTCTTCAAAGAATGTGCAGTCTCAAAAAAAGTTTTACCCAGGAATTTGAATTCCTTCCTTCAACCAGAGAATGAAGTTTATGTATTCATTCTACTTTGATTTTCACACTGAATAATGGGAAGCTCTTATCTAAATATGGCATCCAGTAGTAGTAACTATGTTGAGGTTAAAATCTTCATACTTTTTTTTTTTTATACCAGGGATTGAACTCTGGGGGACTTAACCACTGAACCACATCCCCAGCCCTATTTTGCAGAGACAGGGTCTCACTGAGTTGCTTAGTGCTTCATTTGTTGCTGAGGCTGGCTTTGAACTCGTGATCCTCCTATCTCAGCCTCCCAAGACCCTGGGATTACAGGCGTGTGCCACTGCACCTGGCATCTTCATACTTCTAATAGCGCCTCCTTCTCTCTGGATCTCAACTTTTGTACCTGTATTAAGTTAAATTGGAGCTTAATCTATTATTATTACTATTATTATTTCAGTACTGAGTACTGAGTCTGGGGGAAGTTTATCACAGAGCTACAAGCATGGTCTATTATTATTATTATTATTATTATTATTATTATTATCATTATTATTAGAGATAGGGTCTCACTAAGTTGCTGAGGGTCTCACTAAGTTGCCCAGGCTGACCTTGAACCTGCAATCCTCCTGATTTGCTGGGATAACCAGCATGTTCCACTCTGCCTGGCAGATTACAGTTCTTTTTGATAAGTTTCAGGACTCCCATAAATTGGAGTACATTTTTCATGGCAGAGAAGACAGAGTTCTCTGGATTCTATAAAGAAGTCATGAAACCCAGAGAGTGGCCATATAATTTTGATGGGAACATCTCTGATATTGATTTAAAGGGGCCCACAGGCGAGTGCCTCGGAGCCTGCCCATGGCGTTTGAGGAGGCGGCAGGCTTCCTGGTGGTGGGGAGGGCCTGAGCTCTGCTCTTCTTCCCTGGACCAGGATGCCGCCGAGGAGTCCTGTGCGCTCATCTGTCAGGTCTTCCAGATCATCTATGGAGACCAGAGCATCGAGTGTGTGGACCGGGCTGGTTACCACTACACGTCCACACCTGACCGGCCATGGCTCTGCAGCCGCAGTGAGTACCGGGGTCCCTGGCCTCCCCTTCTGTGCAGCATCCTCAGAGGTAGGGGAGGAAGGATGGCCCAGGACTCAAGGCTAGTGAAGGCCTTTAGGGATCCTAATCTCTGCCAAAATTACAGTGTCCCCTTAATATGTAGATAAAATAAAATGTTGATCTTCATGATGACCTCAAACCTGGTTCCATCAAAGATGTTCAGGATGCCCAGTTCAGATTGAGCTCCTCACACTTGAACTTTTCTCTTTTTGTTTTGGATACTTTACCAAATCCAAGCATATGAACTGTCTTTCTGAACCTTCCAGTCTCACTTGGCTCCTAGATCAAAACCAATATTTGCAGATGGGACCTTGGATATAGTCGAGGGCTGAAATGAGAATGAGATTAACAGAGGCATTTATTGATCACCGACTATCAAGTTGATATTCAGGTGTCAAATCTTATTCAATCCTCATAGCAACTTATCTGCCCTCTTGGCCTCGCACAGGACAGGTCCATCACAAGGGATGTAAGAACCCTTGGGGCCTTATGATTGCAGTTTTACAGATGAGGACACTGAGGCCCAGAAGAGTCAATAGTAAATTGACTGTTTCCTATGGTAGGTTACGTAGTTGGTGTCAGTGTCAGGATTCAAACCCAGATCTGTTGGATTCAAAAGCTTCTATTTGCAACAACCTCACTTCTCAGGGCCACTAAGTGAACTCTAACCACAGCCCCCAGAAGTGTAGTACCTGTTTGTGTAGCTCCTGCAACAGGGCTCCCGTTCTTGTCTTTAGAAGTCTCTCCTACCAGTGGGAGCTGGGACAGCTCTCAACTCTCCCAGAGATGACAGTCAAGTGAATGAGATCATTCAACAGTTTCAACAAATATTCCTGAGTGCCTACCACGTCAGATCCAGTGACGTGGATACACTGATGGGCAAAACCAGAGGTGGCCCCCTCTTCTCAAAGCTTTGTGGCTGAGGCAGCCTGACAGTAATCAAATAACTGCACAAATAAATGTGTAGCCAGACAGTGCTGTGAGAGCGTTAATGAGAAGCCAGTCTCACCTGAGGAGTGACACTGAGTGAGCTCAGCCCAGAGGCTAGGGACAATTCCTGGAGGATGGGACAGCACTCTGGAAAGAGGCATGTTCTCTGAAAATAGTGCTGTTTTCCTCTGACGGTGTTGACTTCTTTTCCCCTCATAAGATTCTTCTTGTCTTGCCTCAAACACACAGTTTACAACCACCGCCCACACTGTCCCTTCCCCTGCTATTCCCAAGGCCCCTGGTGGGCAGGCAGGAAGGTGCTATTGACCATGATTGGGGAGGAGAGTTGCCCAGAGGAGCCAGGGATCCTGGTGCCACTTTGCCACTCTGATAGTCCCTCTGTGTCTGGTCTAGGTGACAGCTGCCGGACAGATGGGACTTACGCCTACGACGCGGACTTCAGCTGCTGCAGCTCCTTGTAGGTACCGTCCTTGTCAGGAACTCCGCTCTTGCTTCCCCACCCCTACACAAATGAGGTCACTCTTCATGAGAGGGTAGGAGAATATGACCCAGCCTTAATTTGGGTGGAGATGCAAGGCACTGTGAGGGGAGGTGATATGAGCCCTGGGCTCCGGTGAGTTTATAGCATCCAGGGGACAAGAACCCAGACTGGGTCCACATAGGTCTGCCGTTCTCTCCCAGCTATCCAGACATGGTGGCCTGCAGGGTCAAAATCACAGCTAAAGCCAAAAATAATTTTACTTTACTTTAGTTTGGGGTCTGTATAATTTAAAACCCTAAAAAGAAGAGTAGCTGAAAGAAGATTGAACTTTTTTTTTCTTGTGTTTTACATAAAATAGAGCAGGAGTTCAGGGCCTCAGCTCTTTCAGGGACCCACACCCTCTTTTCCTGCCACACCCTCCTTAGTGCTTGCTTCCATCCTCGGGGTCACCTCATGGATCAGGATAGTGGTCGGAGCTCCAGCCATCACAGTAGCATTCTAGAGGCCTCCTTTAAAACTTCTGTTGGATTCCCACTCAGCAACTTCTGCTTCCATCTTATTGGTCATCTGATTGGTCACATGGTCATTACATTATCTGCAAGCAAGACTGGAACATGGAGGATTTAAAGAAATTTCAGTTGGGAACACTGCCCAGGGGTCTGTTTTGGGTGACTGACTGTCCCAGTTTGCTCGAGAATGAGGGGTCTCCCAGGATATGGGATTTTCCGTGGTAAAAGAACGTCCTGGGAAAATCCATGTCAGCTGGTTGCCCTGGCCATGTTACTGAGGGCTTTGGGTTGGTGAATAGCAGTGCTTGCCGGTTATATATGCCCCCCTTTTTTCTCTTTTCTTGTTCTTCCTTTTTAGTGGCAATAGATTTGCCTTCTTAAGATTCTGTACCCCTTAGGCTAGTCCATCAACAACCTGATTCTGCTACAGAGACGAAAATCATGGTAATGCCTAACATTTTTTGAGCTTGCTATGTGCCAAATGCTCTCTATAATGCACTTCATTATTTTTTTAGTGGCTACATAGCAACATTATAGCTGCTACTATTTACTTATTCCATAGAGTCCGTGATTCTAAATACCTTACAAATAAGAATTGCTCTCATTCCTCAAGGACACCGATTTCCATCCTCCCACTTTACAGATGGAGAAAACTGAGGAAAAGGGAAAGTTCAGCTTTCCAAGGGTGAAACACCTAGTAAGTGGTAGCCTGGGAAATGAACCAGGAGTCCACACCCTCACCCAGGAAGCTGTCCTGCTTCTCTGGAGGTAATAATGCAAGGTGGTTCTAGAACAATTTAGAGACTAGGGTTGATATTTTATTAAGTCATAGTTAGTTAGCACCTTCTACATGCCAAGCACTGTCCTGTGTGCTGGAGATACAGCAGGAAAAGACAGAGGGCAAGAGCCATGCCTGGCACACAGTAGGTACTCAAAAAGAAGAAAATCAAAACCCCTGCTCCTGCCAAGTTCTCAACCTAGCACAAGAGGCAATGGCCTGTCGGGCAGCGGTGAGCATTAATGGTACTAAGCCCCGAAGAGAAGCCAGGCAGGAGAGACTGAGAGGACCACACTCATCCGGGGAGACAGGAAGGCCTCATGGAGCTGACACCAGAACCAAGACCTGGAGGGTGAGGACAGGCTGTTCCATGCAGAGAGAAGAGCAAGCTCAAACCTTCCGAACAGAATGGAGCTTTGTGTGTTGATGAGCAGGCGAAAGGCCATGTGGCCACGCAAGAGGGTGTGGGGGAGGCAGTGGTCAGTGGGAATGTTGGGTGGAGGATCTGGAAAGGGCTGCATCTGGAAAAGGTCTAACCTGGTTTTGAGGGGATCATGGAAGGTCTCCCTGAGGAGGCAACATTTGGAATCAAAGGATGAACAAAAGTTAGCTTGAGCCAGGCTCTGTGGTCCATGCCTATAATCCCAGCAGCTCAGGAGGCTGAGTCAGGAGGATCACAAAATTCGAGGCCAGACTTAGCAACTTAGCACAACTCTGTCTCAGAATAAAATTTTTAAAAAGGGCTAGGGGATATAGCTCAGTGGCAGAGCACCCCTGGGTTCGATCCCCAGTATCCCTCTCCTCCCCCCCAAAAAAGAGCTTGAGCAAAAGGAAATGGAAGAGAGGTATTTGGACAAAGGGAAGAGCTTGGGCAAGGACCTCTGGGAGTGTTAGAAGTAAAAGGAAGCCAGGCGCAGAGGCGCTCACCTGTAATCCCAGTGGCTCAGGAGGCTGAGGCAGGAGGATCGAAAGTTCAAAGCCAGCCTCAGCAATGGTGAGACCCTGAGCGACTCCTTGAGACCTTGTCTCTAAATAAAATACAAAGAAGGCCTGGGGATGTGGCTCAGTGGCCGAGTGTCCCTGAGTTCAATCTCTGGTGGAAGGAAGGAAGGAAGGAAGGAAGGGAGGAAGGAAGGAAGGGAGGAAGGAAGGAGACCAGAACAAAAAGAGCAAGAGGGAACAAGTGAGGGACAAGGCTGGAGAGGTCCCAGAGGTCAGATCATGCAGTGTCTTGGAAGCCAAAACCACCTTGGATGGGCCTGAGGCCTCATCCTAGACCCCACAGCAGTGATGGCTGACCCCACCCACCTGAAGTGCACCCCAGGGAGAAGAGCCAGTGAGTGGCAAGTGAAGGCCCCTTTCCTCCTGTCCCTACAGCAATGGCTCCCAGGACACATTTGAAGCGTGTTACAGCGGCACGTCAACTCCTTCTTTCCACGGTTCCCACTGCAGTGGCAGTGACCACAGTGGCCTGAGCCTGGAGCAGTTGCAAGATTACATGATCACGGTGAGCTGGGGCAGCTGGGGACAGCACGGGCCCGGGCCATTTTATCTTAGAGTGACATTGGAGAGGGAAGTAGATACACATAGGTGCATTTTGGGAATCGTGCACAGCTCAGCCATGCGACCAGCACGCTAGCTTCATAATAGAGGTTCGAAACATAGAAATTAACTAGTGAGTTCAAATTAAAGAGACATGACTCTCAATTTACCTTTTATGCCCAGCTCAGAGACGGCTCCTCCCAGCTCCTGTCTCTAGCCACCTGACGCAGTAGCGAGGTTTACACAAGAGGCCAGTAAGAGAGAGAGAAACTCGCCAGGGAGTGAGCTTTTGGGGGGAACAAAAAATTCAGGGGAAAATTCCATCCAATGAAGGACGAGGGGGGCAGCATTCCAAGGTCATGGTCAGTGATTGGTTTTCAGGTCAGTGGTCAGGCACACCCCCACACGGACAAGCCCTCGCACCTGGGGAAGGGTGGGGAAGGCTCTGACACAGTGTGTCTAAGCGCTTCACACCCAGCCAGAGAGGTAGCTCAAATCCTGTGCGAGAACGGCTTCCCACACACAGCCCTGCTGGAACTGACAAAGCAGGGGACCTTGGAGGTCAGGGACCGAGATGAAGAGTAAAACCGAGGGCAGCTTGTGAAAGGCCTTGGCACATGTCAGGCCACCAGCATTCACTGGGTGTTTGCCAGACACTACTCCAACACCTTCAACAACCCCAAGAGAGGGGCCACGGTCATCCTCAGTTGCAGAGGGGGAAGGCAAGAATTGGAGGTTGGGACCTACCGGAGATCATAGAGGTCACCCAGGGAGCTAGGATTTGGACTCAGGCAGCTTGAATCGAAATCCCATTCTTGGATGTAGCCCAACAGGGCTGGTGTCCCCTGAGAAGGTCATGAAAGAATTTTTGGAGGAGGGCTCCTAGAGAGGGCTCTGGTTCTGTCAGGCAGGGGTTGGGTGGGGTTGCTCTCTGGGACTGATCTCCAGGGGTGTCGTCCACAGTTGCGGAGTAAGCTGGGGCCCCCCGAGATCCAGCAGTTTGCACTGCTGCTGCGGGAGTACCGCCTGGGCCTGCCCATCCAGGACTACTGTGCCGGCCTGCTGAAGCTCTACGGAGACCGTCGCAAGTTCCTCCTCCTAGGTGAGCCCCTGACCCTCCCAGGCTTTGGCTAAGGCTCTTATTTGGCCCTTGATGTCAGCAATCCAGCACCACCTTGGAGTATTTCCTCCTTATTCTTCTGGCCAAGATCTTGAGACTATAGGGTAGACAAGGAGACTGAGGTGCAGAGAAGGAAAGGGCCTTGAAACAGAGCTAGGAAATGGCTTATAAGAAAAACAGGACCCTGGTACAGCCATTTTATCTTAGAGTGACAAGGGAGAGGGAGACTACAAAACTTGTCCAAGGTCATACAGCTAGTAAGGATGACTATAACAATAGGAATACTAATACTGAAAAGCTAACAGGTGTTTGGCAATTACCATGTGCCAAATATCTGGTTGAAAGCCCCCAGTTCTGGGAAGTAGATACTATTTGTCCCCATTTTACAGGTGCAGAAAGTGAGGCTCAGAGTAATTATTTAATTAAAGTCATGTAGCTAATATGTGGAATATAGCAATCATAAGAACAATATATTAAGCAAGTTAACACGTAGTGAGCATTGACTGTGGGCTGAGCTTCTCATCATTATCTGCCCAGAGTTAAGGACCGCGGGCAAAGCCTCACAGTGATTGGCAGCGCAGGGATTTCAACTTAGATTTCCAAGGAGGGAGCGGCCTCTGTGGGAGGGGAAGCAGCTGAACCCCAGGAATCACTGTACCCCGCGGCCTGCAGGGATGCGGCCCTTCATCCCGGACCAGGACATCGGTTACTTTGAGGGCTTCCTGGAGGGTGTGGGCATCCGTGAGGGCGGCATCCTCACCGACAGCTTCGGCCGCATCAAGCGCAGTATGAGCTCCACGTCAGCTTCCGCTGTGCGCAGCTACGACGGTGCAGCCCAGCGGCCCGAGGCGCAGGCCTTCCACCGGCTGCTGACCGACATCACGCACGACATCGAGGCTCTGGCCCCAGACGACGACGATGACGATGATGAGGAAGATGAGTCCAGGGATGGAGGCGATGCAGCTGAAGACAACTACCTGTGACTTCCGCCCATGAAGAGGGAGTGCAAGGGGTGACCCCACAGCCAGCCCCTGAATCTCCCTCACTTTTTCATGTGGAACCCCATCCCGGGGACCCCTAGTCACACCCTGGTCACAGGTTTCCACTGCCGGGGTTTCCATCCCTGCCCTCGGGGCTCAGCATCCTGCAGTACTGATAGCTTCCTGCAGGGGGCGTGCGAAGCGGGGCCCTAAAGCACCAGAGGGTCTCCCAGGGTTCGGCAGGCGAGTCTGCTGCCAGACCCAGAGGATGGGCAGCGGCCCTGCTTTGTCCCACTGTCCCCTGGGAGCGCGGCTCCAGGACACCCTTCCCTTCTGGGGACTTCGAATCCCCGCAGCTTTCTGGAGGCTGAGGGATGAAGAGTAGCTCCACCTGCTGGCCGACTGAGAAGAGACTATCCCATTCACTACCCGGCAACACCCCCCCCCCCCCCCCCGCCCCCCAAAAAAAGAAAGAAAGGAAAAAAAAAAAAAGAAATCCAGAACTCAGAGACCTCTGTTTGCCCAATTTTACTGACTGGGAAACAGAGCCAAAAAAAACGGAGGGATTCTCCTGATCCTGTTTAGCTATGATCTCCCATTTCTCATCTCTGTAATCATTTCAGCCCTAACAATTTTCAGGAAGATGGTGAAGGTCAAGACCCTAGTGCTGGGCCTAGCACATGGTAGGCACTTTACAGTAAAGGCTGTTCCCTTCCACATGGAACACTTTTTGTGTCAGTTTACGCGTCTGGCCTTGGAGCGATAGGGCGGGAACTGAGGTGAGTGAGATGTTAAGAAGACTGTCAGGGGGCTCAGTTTGGTGGGGGAGGAGTCTCCTTTAACAACGCTCTTACACACTGGCTCTGTGCCTAAACCCCAGACCAGAGAACAGCCAAAACTCTGTGAACAACATCCTGGGGTCTGGGAAAGTCAAAGAAATCTGGAAGCAAGGGTAGAGACCTAGAGAAGTCAAGATAAGGCTAACGCTCTGCACAGCCTCAGTAAAGGCTGGGAGGCTTGAGAGGAGGCCAGAGACGCCCCTAGAGAAGCTCAAATATATTTGTCAAACTTTACAAAGCCTTTAGTGGCTGGACATGTGATACTTACTGAGGTACATACTATTATCGGTTTTTAAGTTATATTGTTAGATCTTTGGATCCAGAAGGTTCCATGATTCATACTCAGCTTGTGGGAAATGATCATCCCATCATCACTGGTCCATTGGAGAAACTTCCTGATGTCTTATTTTGTTTTATTCCCCTTCCACCCACTTCTCCCCATGAGCACCCGCCCCTACATGCTAAAATGTCTCTGTTCATAGAATACACAACGCGTGTGTGTTTCTAGACCTAAGTGGTATTGCATAAGGCCTCATTCTGTTGCTTTCTTTTTTGATTCCATAATGTTGTTAAGCTCTACCCACGTTGCTGTAGGAAAATCTAGCTTATTGCATCCAACTACTGCAAAATGTTCTGAGCTGAGCATCCACTCTTTTATTTATCTGTTTCCCCAGTGAGGGATATCCAGCTTGCTTCCAATAATGCTGTGATGAACAGCTTTGTACTTGACCTCATTATGGGCCTATGTGAAAATGTCTTTGGGTTCCATCCCCAAGAGTGGAATTACTAGATCAAAAAGCGTATACATTTTAAATTTCACTAAATTCTTCCAGAATGGCCCCACCAGCGGCATGTGGATGATGCTGTTACCCCATGCATCCATCAGATTTTACACTGACTTTATAATTGTTGCCTACCAGTCTGAGTATAAGATGACTTTCCTGCTGGGTGCAGTGGCGCATGCCACTAATCCCAGGGGCTCAGGAGGCTGAGGCAGGAGGATCACTAGTTCAAAGCCAGCCTCAGCAACTTAGTGAGGCCCTAAGCAACTCAGTGAGACCCTGTCTCTAAATAAAACACAAAAAAGGGCTGGGGATATGGCTCAGTGGTTTCTTTCATTTGACAAAAAAAAAGTTTCATCAAGACATCAAGTTTCTTTCATTTGACAAAAAAAAAAAAAAAGTGGCATTTCTTCATTGGTTATTTTGTTGTTGTTGTTTTGGTGGTTTGTTTTGTTTTGTAGGATGGGGATTGAACCCAGGGTCTCATACATGCCAGGCAAGCACTCTCCACTGAGTTATTTCTCCAGCTGCTCCTCCTTGTTTTAACTTGCATTTCTCTGTTAATCCTGAGATTTAGACTCTCCTCCTATACTTGTTGTGCATTGGTGCTTCCCCTTCCATGAATTGCTTGTTCATATCTTTTGCTCATTTTCTGTTGGGCTTCCTGTGTTTTTCCTGTTGATTTGCAAGAGTAGCTTACAAATTTTAGGTATCTGTCCCTTGTTGGATGTTGATGTTCCACATATCTTCTCCCTATGTGTTGCCCATCTGTTAGGTTTTTCTGGGGTATTGGTTCTCAAACTTTAGCACTCATCAGAGTTTCCTGGAGGGCTTGCTAAAACAGAGTGCTGAGCCCCACCCCCAGAGTCAATAGAGAAGGGAGGGGGGTCCATTCATTTGCACTTCTAACAAGTACCCAGGTGATGCTGATGGTCCAGGGACCACACTGTGAGAACAACTGGTCTGTGGTGGCTTCTGTGGAATAAATTTGTTCAATAGACATCAAGTTTCTCTCATTTGACAAGTTTAAGAATTTAATTTGATGTCAAATGTCTTTATCCTCATCTTATGGGTGAGGGAACTGGAGCTCCAAGAGGTGAAGTGAGTGAGCCAAGGTTGGACTCCTACAGGCTAATCCCAGAGCACATGCTCCAAGCTTCTCTCCTACCCATCTCAGTCTGTGGGATATGGTGGTCATAGGCTGAAGCATGGGGACCCAAAGTTCCAGGAGCCTTAGTAAGGTGTTGAGTGAGGCATCCTTAAAGGGAGAAGTTGATTGGGTAGGGGCAGGGACCAGAGATAGGCGTCTCTCTTGGGGGGGCTTTGCAAGATAATCCAACTCAGAAATCTCCTATTCCTGGTCGAGGCCCGGTAACAGCTGCTGAGAGCCCTAGGACTGTCTTACACCACAGCTTTGGGGATGAGGCAATTTCCCCTCACACCCCAAGAAAGTCCCCATCCACCCCGGAACTATTGTCTTACTAAACCCATGTAACTCCTTGGTTTCAGAGGTCCAAAAGCACCAGCTAGGGTGGCCCAGGCCCTGAGCATAGCAACTCTGACCACACTTCCTCCTGTTTATCCTGATACCCTGCCAGGGTCATTTCCTATCTTGGTTCAGTCCCTGACATTGCAAGAGGGGAAAACCCCTTATAGGCAGCACCATGGGTTCCCAGAGACCTCTAGGGGGTAGTGCAAGTTTGGAACTTCCCTTCAGCTGGTTCCCTGGGGACAGTTCTGACCAAGGGCAAGTGGTGAGGTGGGTGAAATGGTCTCCAGCTGCCCCCTAAATGGAGGCTCTCCCAATTGACAGCTCTGCAATTTCCTGCTCTCTCCAGCTTCTAACTAGAGACTCCTAACAGTCCTCCCCAACTGGGACCCTGCCATTCAGTCACACGACATCTAGAGAGCACTCGTGCTACGCCAGGCTTGGAGCTAGACACTAGATGGAGATACAGCACAATTCCTCACCGTCGGCTGGGAAAGACAGGTCCCCAGATAACCACAGCACAGAGTTCTCAATTGGAAAGTCAGAGAGGAAGCAACCAGCTCTCTCTGGGGAATCTGGAAAAGGTTTTGAAGAGGGAGTAATATAAGCAAGTCCTTGAAGAGCAAATAAGGTTCTGGGTGGATCATGGAAAGGAGAGCCCTCCAGGGGGGCTACCCAGCATGGGCAGAGGTAGGGGAACATGAAGGGACGTGGTGGCATGGTCCAAGACTGTAACCAGCTAGGACTAGTACAGTGAGGGTCAGACTGAATGGTTTGGGTACTGGGAAAGGAACCCAGGGGAACTTTACTCTATCACTGAGCTATAACCCCAGTCCGTTTTTTTTGTTGTTGTTGTTTTGTTTTTTGTTTTTTTTTAAGAGAGAGTTAGAGACAGAGAATTGTTTTTTAATATTTATTTTTTAGTTTTCGGCAGACACAGCATCTTTGTTTGTATGTGGTGCTGAGGATCGAACCCGGGCCTCACGCATGCCAGGCGAGCGCGCTACCGCTTGAGCCACATCCCCAGCCCTTTTTTTTTTTTTTTTTAATTTGAGATAAGGTCTCACTAAGTTGCTGAGACTGGCCTCAGACTTTTCGACGGACTCTCCTGCTTCAGCCTCCATAGTCCCTAGGGGTTACAGGCATGGGTCACCCTACCCAGCTAGACTGAAAGGTTTTGAATCCCAATGTCATCATCTGCTATGTACTGACCTTGAGTAAGCCCCTGTCTCTGGGTTTGGGTTTCTAAATGGGGATAACCATGACATCATCCTCTTAGATCTCACAGAATGTTGTGGGGCTTGAAGAAGATAATTCATGTAAAAGTACACTTAGTGCTCAATAAATGTAACCATTTTTATTGCTGGAGCAGCATGGGGTATGAGAAGTGAGGGACAAGGTGAGTGGGCAGGGCTTAAGGAGGGAGAGGGGAAGGAGACATTTACTGAGCACTTCCGCACTGGCCTCTTGGGATGTACGCGCCCGGGCCAGGAGATTACGTTTCTCTCAGAGTGAATGATGTTACTCAGGGCATTCAGATGCAACAACCATCAGGTCAGGCTTAAGCCACCAGAGATTGACAGCCCTGAGGGTGGGTTCTCTCACTTCAGACTCTTCTATCCTCAGCTGTGTCAGATGAAGGGCGAAGGGATCTTAAAGCCAGGCCAGCCTCTCTGGCCTGCTCCCTGCAATGGGGAATCTATAGTCTTCTGGGGCATCTGGTTCAGAACCCAGTAACTGCCTCTGTGTCCTCGCCCTTCCCCCTCACCTCTTGCATCCCCTGCCCTCTTACCCCCAGGTTCTAGCACCATCTTCTAGGGCTCTTCATGACCCCCTGGGCTCCCCCAGCCCTTGGACAGCCCTGCAGTGGTGTGCAGGCACTTATATGACCTGCAGTACCTTCTCATTTGTGTCTAAAAGCCACCTGTTCCAAAAATAAATAAATAAAATAGTCAGGAGGAGGGTGACACATTTCTCAGTGTGTCGGGAATCCCAGTAATCCAGTGGCTCAGGAGGCTGAAGCAGGAGGATCACAAGTTCAAGGCCAGCCTCAGCAGTTTTGCAAGGACCTAAGCAACTTAGCAAGATCCTGTATCTAAATAAAATCTAAAAAAGGGTTGGGGATGTGGCTCCGTGGTTAAGCAACCCTGGGTTCAATCCCTGGTACCGAAATGTACATAAATAAGTCAAATAGTTTTTGAAGTTCATTGTGCAAAAAAAATGACAGTGCTTAGATTATGAAGAGGACCTACAAGTAAATAATAAATACCCACAGCCCAGTAGAGAACTAGATAGATTATTTGTACAGTTTGCAGAAAAGAAAATATAAG